AAAAGAGTGTTTGGCAAAAATGGATAAAGTATATTTTTTTACAATAACTATTAAATTGAAACAAATTAAGAATAATGTCTATTGTCTCAATATCAAAGTGAGAAAAAATGTGGTGTTTTATTTTATTAGTGTCATTCTATTCTTGTTAAATATTTTTATATAAAGATCTTAGTCAGACCTCCACCTATACAGTTTCATGCAGAAAAACTGTATAATCCATTTGTTTCTTACTACATTCACTCTCAGATATGAACACACACACACACACACACACACAGACACAAAGACACACGCACACATATATATATTGTGATAGTCATTGCATTAGTTTGTCAGAGCTGCCATCCCAAAGGACCAGAGATTGTTAGCTTAAAAAACAGAAATTTATTGTTCATTGTTCTAGAATCTAGGAATCTGAGATCAAGGTAAATATGAAGACAGGGCTGATTTCTTCTGAGGTCCATTTCTTACTTGTACATAGCAGTCTTCTCTCTCTGTTTTCATGTCATCATTTCTCTGTGTATCTCTGTGTCTTATCTCCTCTTCTTATAAGGACACCAATTTATATTAGATGAGTGGCAAAATAAAGACCTCATTTTAAGTTAATTAACTCTACAAAGACCTTGTCACCAAATATAGTCACATTCCAAGGTACAAGGATTTAGGATATCAATATATGAATATTAGTGTATAGCACATGAATATTTATATAAATTTGGTGATTATAAATAAAGCTGCTATAAATATTTGTGTGCAGGTTTATGCATGGGCATGTTTTTGATTTCTTTTGGAGTCCATAGTACACAAAACGATCTAAACATTCAATGGAAATTTGTATCAAAATACTAATGGCATTTTTACAGAAATAGAAGAAAACAATCTTCACGTTCATATGGTACCAAGGAAATCTTAAGCAAAGAGAACAAAGCTGGAGTCATCACACTGATTTCAAAATATATTACAAAACTACAGTAATTAAAGAGTCTGGTATTGGCATAAAAATAGACATAGAGACCAAGGGAATAGAAAAGACAGGCCAGAAATAAACCCGCCTATATATGGTCAATTGATCTTCAACTAGGCTGTTAATAATACACAAAGGAAAGAAGATAATCATTTGAACAAATTGTGCTGGAAAACCTAGATATCTACATGCAAAAGAATGAAATTTGACCCTTCTCTCAAACCATGAACAAAAGTAGCTTAAAGATTTAAACATAAGATCTGAAACTTTAAGTTTCCTGAAAGAAAATATATGGAAAAACTTCTCGACTTTGGACTAGGCAAGAATTTCATGGATGCGACATCATAAGCACAAACAACAAAAGTAAGATTAGATAAATGAGAATACAATGAACTAAAAAACATCTGGAGAACAAAGGAAATAATCGACAAAGAGGCAACCTACAGAATAAGATAAAATGCTTGCAATCCCCTTGAAGAGACAGTTCTCAAAAGAAGATATACAAATGGCCAGCAGGCCAATAGGAAAGCATACTTAACATCACTCACTAATTATCAAGAAAATGCAAATCTAAAGCATCCTTATAATCAGGGATCTTAAAACTCTATTTATTCAATAAATATCAATATGTAGTAAGTTATTCCAGGAACATTTTCTTTTTCATTATTGAAGAAATCATCGTGTTGCTATTTTTAACCAGAAGATAATTGAGGCATATTCCCCTAGGGGCATTTCTTATAGTTTCATCAACAACTGAGTAAGTAGATATAAGTAATCTAAATTAATCGCATTCATAGTGTATGTAAACCCGCTTTTGCTGTTCCACAGGTAAGAGAAAATTCCAAATCATTTGCAGAATATTTTATGAAGAGGGACCTCAAATTTCAAGGTCAAATGCATTATGAAATCTCCGCTACTAAACCTTCTAGATGTTGACTATCCCATTGGTAAATAAATAAAACTAAGAAAATATAAAATATTAAATGTACTTTTGTAGAATTAAGTAAGAGTGTTCCATATAGAGTGTATGCTTTGTTTTTTCCAATGGAAAAAGACAGATCAAATTAAAGCAAGAAAAATACAGAGAAGTTTTTTGTACCAGTGGAGGGTACAAAATATTTGACTTACTGAGCTACCTGTGGGCTTCTATTTTGCTCTTATGAGGAAGCAATCAATTACCATCTATTTTCCCAGGTTTGTGATGTAGAAGTCACTTCATATTACTGTTGTTTCATGTTTCTCTAGGCTTAATGTTTAAAATTTATCTAAATGTATATCAAGAATCATGTTTTATTTCACTGGGAGGTGCAGGTCGGGAGTCAGCTACAGAATAAAGCTGTGATAGTACAGGAAACTGTAAATCTGCAAAGTGCATGCGCTCTGAGGGAGCCCGGGGATTGGATCTTGGTTCTGGTCCTTACGAGCAGTGATAGTTGTCAGAAAGGTGAAATAAAGTAATGTGCCCAAAAGTGTATTTCTGCTGCCTGTGCTCTATACATGGCCGTTATTATTTTTCTCTTCTATTAAAAACAGTATTTCAATGTTGAGCCCAAGATATTTGGAATTGTCTGCTTTCTATTAAAATTGTATTTTCAGATGGGGTTTGATATTCATTTTAAAAGTTGACTCTGTTATTAAACTCTTCAGAAATCATAGTCATTTTCACTTTATACCTCTGAGTCTTTTTGGTATATTTTAATATTGACTTAACTATACCCAGAATCACTTTTATTTTGTCATGTCGTAAAAATATCTGATTCAAGAAAAATTTAGCTTAAGTGTTTAACATTGTAGCCTTTCACTATCTTACTTATGTAAGTAAAATTAAGCCCATAGTAATGTAGCAAATGGAATTATGGTGATCTGTGTGTGGGTAGATCATAATCAAAATATGACTTATTGGAATTATTCCTGATAGAATAATGTTTCAGCGTGTACTGATAATCACAAAACAAATATTTTAAATGCAACTTAAGGATGAAATATCTGTCTCCAAGCTTTGGCCATATATATTCTTCAACAATTAGCATTAATATTATTTTTGTGGCCCAATATTTACTAACATTTTAAAATAAATACAGCTGATGACAAAAGTTCAATTATATGGTTATTTTAAATTTGTAACCAAATATTGACATACATAAAGGAAATTACTTCATATATTTATTGCTCTACACATTTAAGTAGTCTGCCTCATTATATATTATATATTATTATGTCTGTTTGGTCGTTTATTATTGTAAAGAGGAGTAAACTTAGGAGAGAAAGCCCAGTACCACACATGACTTTTAATCATGAACCTGGCCAATGAACACACACTTTCAGATCTAAGTCCCATGCTCTTTGTCTTAAATAGGTTTGTCATTGAACAGATAGATGTCAAGAATTGTACTGGGGCTGATTTTCTCTTATGACTGCTGATCACTTTTTTTTATAAATAGATTTCATCATATTCATCAAAGTTTTAATTTCACTTCTTATTCTTAGGTCTGTTTCTTTTTTATTTTGAAAAATTTTGAGCATGCAGTAAAAGCAGACAGAATGGTATGATGAATTCCCATGTGCCCATCGCTCTGTTTCAGCAATTTATAAACACGGCCAGTACTCTCTCCCAACTTCCACCATCCTGAGTATTTACAGTTTCATCCATAAGCATTTCATTATGTGTCTCTAACAATAATAACTGTTTTATAAACCTAAGCACATCATTATTATCACTGCTAAATTTTTTAAAATTTCTTAATATTAAGAATACGTACACATGTCCTTCTTCCCATAGGTTATTTGAATCAGGATCCAAGTAATATATGGATATTTCAACAGATTTGTATAGCTTAAGTGTCTTTTAAGATCGCAATATATTTTTCCATTAACTTTTGTATTAAATATAATGGGGTCACATTGGTTAACAAAATTATATAGGTTTCAAGTCTACAATTCAATACTACATCATCTGTATATTGCTTTGTGTATTCACCACCCAAAGTCAAATCTTCCATCACCATACATTTGACCCCTTTACCCTTTTCTAACTCCCCCCAAACCCCTTTCCCTCCAGTAACTACTAAACTGTTATCTGTGTCTATGAGTTTTGTTCACTTTACTTGTTTGTTGTTTTTAGGACTATATCCCTTGTATGAGTGAAACCATGTGGTTTTCGACTTTTTCTGTCAGACTTATTTTCCTTAACATGATTATCTTAGGATCTATCCATATTGTTTCAAATGTCAGTATTTCATTTTTTTCTCAGGCCTTTTAAGCTGTATTTCATTTCTTATTTTGGCTTAATTAAATTGTAGGCCATTATCTGGAAAAAATCTTGATGAGTTCTTCTAGATATAACTAAGAAGGTCTAACAGAGTTACAAAATATTTAGAGATGAGTCCATAAAATGTTACAATTTAGATTGTCACTACTCTGTAGGATCAACCAAATTTAAGCACATTCTCTATTTAATAAAATTGTAAAGATTTAATTTTATTGACATATTTTGTTTTGCAATATTTACTGTAATATTATAAAATAAATATAAATGTCCTCATTCTACAGGAGAGTCGATAATAGCAAATAATTGTATACAAATACTGAAAGGTCTAGAATGCTGACATTCTATTCTATTCCAATGTGCTGTATACTGATATTCTATCTCATGTGCATATGTGTCAAAAGAAAATTAGACTTTAGCCAAGCAATTGTTGCTTTAATGCTATTTAATAGAAAAACAACTAAAAGAATGCAATGGTAACCTGATTAACCAGGTGACCTGATGCCTTTAGAAATGACATGAATTCAGCCAGTGAGTGAACACCAATCTTTTCCATTTGATTTTGCAGTGAGCGGCATAAACCCTTACCCCATTGTCTTGTCACTGTTTCCTGATCTGCAACTAGGAAACTTTACCTTGTCAACAGATAAATATGAGGAGATAGCATATTTCCCCTTGTGTCTCAATATTGTCACTATTTGCTTATTGTTTTTGTAGTAGGTGAATTGTAATTTTAAAAATCTCTTTAACTAAGTCCCATGAGGCATCACCATGCAGAATGTCACTGAAGTTACCGTGTTTGTGCTGAAGGGTTTCACAGACAAGCCTGAACTGCAGATTACCTTATTCTTTTTGTTTCTAGCAATTTACCTCTTTACTCTGATAGGAAATTTAGGACTGGTTGTACTGGTCATGGGGGATCCTCGACTTCACAATCCCATGTACTATTTTCTGAGTGTGTTGTCATCCGTGGACGCCTGCAGTTCCTCAGTTATTACCCCACATATGTTGGTAGATTTTATGTCAAAGAGTAAAGTCATTTCACTCCTTGGATGTGCAACACAGATGTTTCTTGCTGTTACTTTTGGGACCACAGAATGCTTTCTCCTGGCCGCAATGGCATACGATCGCTATGTAGCAATCTACAACCCTCTCCTGTATTCAGTTAGCATGTCACCCAGAGTCTATGTGCCACTCATCATTGAT